GCTACAGAGAAGACCTAAACTATTCATGCAAGAGCAAACCCACAGCCTCAGCCACAATAACCAAATGATTTAATAAGACATCAACAAATATTTTCCAACAGAAGTCCAATGTAGCCATCAATGGGTGTATCTCAAGACTCTAGCTGCAATAGAAAATGAAATGATCCCCTAACCATCCCAACACATACTTTTTGGTCAGAGCTTGCCTCAAAGGCTCTCTCCACTCTACCACATTGATTCTCAATAAGAACTTCTTTTGATACTGTGATACCAAAGAACTAGTTCTGCCACTTTAACTATATGATCTGGGGAAAATTAATTAACCTCTCTCAGCATTATTCCTCATAAGTAAGTGAGTATAATAATACCTACCTCTTAGGGATGTTATGAGGAATAAATGATAAAATCAATGTTAAGTGCTTATCATAATGCCAGGGTCATGGTAAGTGCTCAGTAAGGTTTGGCAATGGTCATTTTTGCAATTTCCATTTTTCTTGGTTTCCTTTACTTCCTTCAATCTGGATAAAATAATGAGTGACTACACCACATTGTGTATATTATTATTCTCCTCTCCCTTATTGTGTAGAGTACCTGTACTCCTTCCAAATTAGAAGGCTGTTTTTAAGTTGAAATATCTCAGCTACCCGAATTTATGCTGTGTTCCTACAGAAAATTTCCCTCCACATTGAGTGGAATTTTCTTTCTTGCATATCACCATTCTTCAAAGGGCTTGGGCATTTTGAGGGTTTTGTTTTCTTTTTCTTAAAAAGTTCACCAGGACTTCAATTCCTCAAATAAAGACTGAGATAAAGACTGACTTGCCTGTCACATGACATTTCATTGTAAGCAGCTTTAGGTTGTGAGAGTACAAGAGACCCAGAGCAAAAGTGCTAGGCTTGGCTATCCAGCTGCTAGTTCCATCAGCAGGTCAGCAAGCAGCCCCATCCCATTGTCATGTGATTTCCTAGGAAACAGTCATTTGCCCTAACACCAGAGCAGAGAATACAATGATAATACTCTACGCAGATGTTTGGAGAAGATATGTCTTTTCACAGCTATGGCACACTCAAAATAATAATGATCCATACCTTTGGCCTTTCCTATCAAGGCCTGGAGTAGGTCAATGATCTCTCTGAAAGTCATCTTGCATCATATAAAGGTGAAGATGCTGTTTGGAGAACCTGAGAAAAGGGTCCAAATATTCTACCAAAATCTGGACCTTTCTCACTTCCTAAGGGGTTTTGAGATTTTACAATAAGGCAAATTTTCTATTAAGAGAGATTTGGAAAACTCTTCTTCCTACTTTCTTAGGAAATGACAGTGATATGAAGTTTGAAATAGGTTCACTCAAGGAAGAAAGATCCATGTGCTGAGTGTACACCAGTAATTTACTTCTCCATTTCTTCCTGCATAAGTTTAAATACTTTCAGTGAGTCTGGGCTGGAAGCACCTGCACACTGATTCATAACCTGAGAGTTGAAGAAGCAAGGCTTTTGGCCCATTTCAGGGCAATGTAGGCAGCAGGAGAGGGCACCATTGTGAATACTGCAACCACTGCAGTCATATATTCACAAGACAGCAAAACTAGTGATTCATAACTTTAATTTACTAACAACCACTTTATAAATTATAAATAAAATATTCAGGCACCTGTTGATAGAAATTAGGTAGCAGGAAGTTAACCATTAAATCTGTGAATTGATTGGTGTATTTTTATGAAAAGAGTGCCTGTTTACCTAAGTTTGTGATTACTTGAAAACAAACTTAGACAAAGAGGAATAAGGGATAAGCTTGGAATCTTTCTATAAATTCCCAAAGACCTCACAGTTGCCCGACCCCCACTGATAAAGTAAAAGATTCAAGAGAAAATAATGGAAAGTAATCAAATTTTTAATCTTTATATGAAATAACCAGGAGAATACCCCGGGAGCAGTCTAGTCACAGAAACTCAAAATTACCTCCTGCCTAAGACAAGAGGTGCATACTAGGAGTGAATTTTGGTGTTCATGCAGGAGTGTGAACATGTGCACATGTATGTGTGTGTGTGTTAAAGAGAGAGAGGGGGAGAGAGAGAGAGAGAGAGAGAGAGAGAGAGAGAGAGAGTGTTAAAGAGGGAGATAGATAGAAAGTTTAATTAATCTGTTGGTATTTAGTTCTAAACACTATTTCTCAAAGATTAACTTTT